TGGACATTGATCCAGTATTTGTAGGTATTTTTTGGGCCTTTCGAGTTATTCTTCCTCAACAAAATGACGTTTTGAACATGTTGCTTTCTAGTTAGGTTGGTCTTTATAAGTATTGCGCCGGCCATCATGAAAAATCCATTTTGAAACTTTTCATTTTTTTCCTTTTCGTGATGTGTAATTATGTATTTTACTATGGGATGAAACCATATAAAGTAGATCAAGACTGATAGACTTCCACAACTTGTACATGTGATCAAAAATGCAGTGGTATGCACATAGGTCGTGAAACGTAGGAAACTAATCTTACTAGACCCTTTAGCATGTTCAGAGCCGAAAAACCAAGAGGAAATTAGAACAATTATAAAAATTCGAAAAAATACGTTTTGCTTATTTTTATCAGTTTGCATCATCTTGATATGTCGATGCTGATTTTTGTATGCGTACCGTGAAAAGCTCAATATTTCTTCCAAGATACCTCACTAATTATGAGACATTTTTTCGAAAATTTTGGTGCGACTTATGGCCAACCTGAAATGATCCACAAAAGACATGCATAATGAAGAAATCTGCTGGAATATAACGTGCTTTAGCCCTGAGCTTTGGTGGCGTATACTTGTTTCATGTTCTCTGAATTTTCATTCATTTGAATCTCCCAACAATTAAGGCATGCACATCGCTCAATGCTCGCACTTTGCCTAAATTTCACGAAATAAATAATGGAAACAGCCAATTTGGTGTCAAAAATGCGTTCGCAATTCCATCATCTAACAGCCATGTCCACTGATTTTTCAGAAATTTTTTGTGGTCATTGATGTTCACCTGTATACTTCATGAGTTTGAGCATGCTGACTCATAAATAATAAACTATGCTCTTGCGTCATACATAGGCATCTTGCTTAATGACATTACAGGGTTATCGTCGACTATATGCTTAGCAAAATTTGCAAGAGGAAATTTTGCCTTGCAACTCGGTAACTACACTGCCTTTAAGCAGTATATCGAAGTCATTTACTACTTAATTTGTGGGAATACGCATTGTTTCATTTCACGGCTACTTAGCCAAATTCATAAAATTTGGTGAAATAATGAAATAACATTCCAACGAAATTGATTGTTGAAAATAATTGATCGCACTCTTTCTTATCTACTCACACTCAAAAAGAAAAGAGAGCTGAAAAAAACCTTTAGGCAATCGCAAAACATAGGCACACAAGTCCTAAATACTATACGTATCATTCAATATACAAATTAATCACAAACGACTAGTGTAAAAGCAAGGAAAACTTTTTTGAAAGGTTTTTCTTTCTTGAAAGGTTTTTCGCTTGACTTTCTCTATTCTTTATAGGTGCATAGAGTGAGACTTTCTTTAGTCAGTTCGTTTTGTAATGCTATAATTCAGTAAAATATGTGAAATAGTAGTGACATCATCTGCACATGCTGTATAGGCTTATTTTTGATGTAGCAGGTTTTTTTCAGCAAGAGAACCTTATTTTGATTGAATTCTGATTTGAAGCGCTGTTTGAAATGCAAATAACTATACGAAACTGCTTTCAAACAGCTGAATTCTCGATTGTTATTGCTGTTGTTGTTTTTCGTAGTCACGCAGGTTGGGCCACGTGCCACGCAAACTACGGCCCCATTGAATCTATTTTCACTTTGATTTTAGCCATCTGGCTTCAAAGTTCCGGTCTGTCTTTGCTGTTCTGTTCACCACAATCAGTCTTTCTTTTCTTTCTTTCGTTTCCCGTGATTTCTCCCACGCATCGTTAGCGCTTTTCAAAAAGCAACATTCTTCTGCAGATGCAATGTTGAAAGCTACATCAGACCATCGTCGAACATCGAAACACTCCGATAACCTCATCTACTCAGCACTTTTTCGTAAAAAATTTGCGAAAGTGTTTGGCTTGGATAGCAAAGCTCACAAATGCATCCAGACATGTCTCGAAGCTGAAGCTCCTCAGGTAAACACCATAAATATTTATCTGGCCTCCTATCATCGCCACGTATATGTAGCTGTTGACACAGCAGTGATGTCCTCAGAACCAAATATATTAATCTGAATACCTTGCACGTGAAAGTTTACATAAAGCATTCCATTGTACTCATAGAGCTGACTGAGGGTGGACTTGATTAGTAAGGCCAAGTTCCTTAACCGATGTGGATGCATGACAAAGGGATCTGCAAAAAAAAACCATAAGATTGATCCCATTCCACGCTTTCAAAAGAAGATCCATATGGTACTCCTGTACTCCTATGGCCTAAGGCATACCTCACGCGATTTCCGTCACTGAGCGATTCGCAAAGCGAGTGTTAGTAATTGGTCGTTACCGCCCTTTGTTTAAATAGGACTTGATTCGTTTGCAAGAACTTACAAACGCTACGCGCGTATGCTTTTGAAAACCGCCCACGACGAATTTGTGAAAATCTGGCAGAACGCCAAGTTGCATGAACGTCGCGATTTGCTCGAATCGCATGAGGTATGCCTTAGGCCTATAGGACTCTCCCTCGTAATATTGAACTGTCATTTAAGTTGACTTTTTTCGTTCACCGAGAATATTAGTCAGCTTGTGATAGACGAAGCTTACTTCGAATGTGCAGCGACACTGCCCATTACCTTACAATTGATTTCTGAGCTATGGTATCCCGAGCATGCAAATCTAGACGATAATGATTGGAAGGCCTGAACTAGGTCGTTGTCCTAGAGGAAGCTCATTTGACTTATCATAGCCGAAAAACTGGAGTTTGAGTTCCCGCGCGGTACCGTATGCCCAGCCACCACGAATACGGTAGTGAGCGGCAAAATTCTAATTCAAATTTCTATCTCGAGAGTGATCATATGAGCCTACTCAAGCAATGGATTATATATCTTGTCATTTTCTACCCACACCTACACAAATATTGGATAAATGGGGATTTTAAGCTTTTGGTCAACTGCTATTATCATTAATCTATTAATCGGGAAGAAGCCCACTCTTGCATTGTGTTTTCTGAAACTCTTCTTTCAACATAAGTGTTGTGAACTACATAAACTCACATATCCATCCGTACAGCCGAGGATTTGTCGGCTATCGAATAGAGAATGCAGACCTCGTCCTCTAACGGCCCTGCAACATTCTAACGAGGCTTGATTACTGTTTGGATGTATCCACAAAGGAAAGACTTCTTTTTGCTCCTCTGCATCCAACTAGAGCTCATGTTTTCGCGTTTTTTTCGATCTTGAGCGGTCTGACTAGCTCAATCAGCATTTTGAGGCATTGAATTCTCGCGCTGTTATTTACCATCTATAGCGCTTCAATCACCACCCGCGCCTGAATCGTTAAATCTCAGCTTTTTCCAGCAGATTTTGAGATAACACGATAATAGCAGTGACTGAAACATCACAGCTTCTAGCTCTAATGTTGATGATGGTTTCTACGCCCATCTATAAGCGATCAGAAAAGGTTCGATAATTTGATTAATCACATTTTTATACCTTCACAACGACATCGCTTGTCTAATTATGCTTTTGTGTCGATCCTTGCAATTGATGTGCAGCATTATAATCTAACTATTCAAGCCCTTTTGAATCGAATTGTTTGAATGTCCGTCTGTGAGACCAGTCTAGAGATACCTAATATGGTAATTTTTTGTAGAATCTCACAGGCATGCTCACCGTATGCAGTGCCGAGATTGTTGTTTGCTAGGCTGCGGTAGTTACAACAGTGTTACGGTAGAAATTTGTAGTCTGGATCTTCCACTAGAATCCGCACCTTGTGGTTATCCCGCGTTCGCATTACATAAATACTTCATCAATCAAAGATTTGCAATGTTTGGCTTAGTACGGTGTTGCACAAAGAAAGCGATTAAAGGCAGCGGACAGGCAAAATGGACCCCTGTCAGATTTTGGTAGTTTCGGGTAGTGGACCCCCCAAGTACACCGTAGCCCCAACCCCACATTCCAATTCATGCGCTAAGTCTTGAAAAAAGCGCTTCAAAACTCCACCAGCCCCGCCCACTTCCATTAAGTGGGCGTTATTGGTGGAAGTTTGAAGCTTCTTTTCGGAACTTAGCACATGATTTGCAGGGTGAGGCTGGGACTATGGTGTACTTGGGGGGTCCACTACCCGAAACTACCAAAATCTGACAGGGGTCCATTTTGCCTGTCCACTGCCTTTAAGCCTCAAGTCAGCTGCATCCTAAGCATTATTTATCCTTCTTCTGTATTGTTGTGGGGATAAGCTAGATAGTGCGACAAGAGTGTAAGCATTTGGTAACTCTAAAAGCTTCTCTCTGATTTACTTCAACTAAGTTTGATACAGAAATGCGATTCTTATGTATAAACTGGTGAGAATGTATAAACTTGGCTTCTAAGATTGACATTACTTGTGTTCGGTATGAGTTGCACAAGCAGTTTACATCAGTGTCGTTGAAAATGATGAGTGTACAGTAAGGCATGCTTTTTCTTAAAATTGTTGCGCCATGTATCCATGGTATAACAAGTTGAAAATTATACATTAGCAATAACACAACAGTGAAAGACCGACGATGAATTTTTTCAACTTCGACAAATGTTGGAATGATAGAGCACAGTAATTGAGACTAGCAATGTTTTGAGTGTTGAGTTTCTAATTGCAATTTCTAGTTTTTTAATGAATGCTGTTGCTTCGCCTATCCTTTTCGTGTACGTAATATTCAAAAGCAGAATTTGGCCGGAGAGTAATACTGTAAGTTATTTGAAGGCTATGAGCGTATATAAATGTCAACTGAGAAACAAATAATAAGCTAGCACTAGTCGCGTTATTTCATATGCATTTGCATTTTTGGTGCTTATAGGTAATTTGCTAGTAGTAGTACTACTATGTTATCACTTGCACTTGTTTAATGCGACCCGAAAGTATTTTATAGTACATTTTTTGCATAAAACGGTGAGATTGTAAAACCAATGAGAGTGTGAGAGAGACCATGGGAATATGATAGCAGACTACAATTAGAGTATGATATACCCATTGTTTTCTTTTCAGTCCTCAAAACCACGAGTATCGAACATCACGTTTTCTACCGTAACCAGTGCCACTGGTTTACCAACAATCGCTGCAGAACCATGTCGACCGAGATCAAGCAGGTTCGTCTTTTATTTCAGGGCTTAGCTTTAGTCGGTTGTTTGTTATCTCTGGTATGATTTGGGGACCATTTGATTCGCTAATCCCTATTAATTTCCTGTTCTTTGGTTTTCGAATGCGAGCCATTATCGGCTCAAAAACAAACTTTTGTCATTTTCTTTGTCTTCAAGTTGCCTGTAACTGCCATCTTAACATCCTTGCCTCTATTCTCATTTTTTTTCAAAATTTGATGGAATTACTTGCTTCGGAGTATCATTTTTCCGTATGTTAAAGCATCCCTTGGCGAGTGTGACATTCCTTCAGCAGAAGTATTGAACCCTGCGTTCTGCTCTCTAGGACGACAGATGTCCTTTATGGATATCTTCGTATGTATGGCTTGCCGATGAGCTGCTTCTTGTTGGAATTCTCAACTGCATATAGTCTTATTAGCAAAGTTTTCTCTAAAAGCATGGCATTTTTTATGATTGGGAGGAAGCAATGACATTTGCCACATCATCTGTCACTGGACACAATGATTGCAAGTAGTGCCCTAGCAAATCTGGGTATTTGCTTGTCTTATGTGGGAAGTGAAATGAAAGCCTCCACGTTTTGCGGATTATCGAATTCTAATAATAGGTTTGATTTTTGGTGAGAACAATCTAGTTAATCATTGAAGCATCTCTGCACTAGTTTCTTTGATCTTTTGGAGCATTATCTTATAATAGTTTCCTAGAACTCAGTCTGTTCGAAGATCTATGAGACTTTGGCTGAACAAGTTTATAGGATCGCGACATTTTTCTCGCCATGTGTCGTGACAGAATGAATACGAATGCGTTTTTTAGTTTTTGGATTCGATTTGAATCGCTGAGATGTCATCAGTTCAGTGAATCATTTGTGAAATCCAAAGATCACTATCAGAGAAGCTATAGCGACCCGACGAATTTTTGACGATAAGTATTTCACGACGAAAAATTTGTCGCAATCCGTTTTTTAACCAAAGTCAGGAGCTGCATTGTGAGTCACTGCCTGGTAGCTCGTATGGATCACTATTGGCGAGAAGTTTAATTCTGTAGTCCAATCTGGACCATAGCTACTATACTCTGGACCAAATCGAATGATTATTCGATTATTTGAATAGATCATAATGCGAATGATTCGAACACTCGAAAATCTGAGATTTCGAATGATATTAAATAATCGAATATTCAAAAAAAATTTCGAATTTCCCTAAGTAAGTAGCTACTATTGTACTCGATGAAGGCTGATTAAAGGGTGTCTCACCAAAATTTAGTTGCCGAGATTTTTCATTTTGCAAGCCTGTCGGACCCTGTCTAGCACTGTATGGGCTTAAAATCGCACGAAGCTCCCAAAAATCCCGTTTTCTGGAGGCCCCGAGAAGCAACGTGGACGAGTTGTACCTTTCAACTTCAGCCTCAGCCACAGTGGCAGCAAGAGAGGGGAGGCGGATGCCAAGTGGAGGGACATGTTCAAACGCGTAAGGGGGAAGACCGAAGGAATCGTTCGCGCGTACCAAATCGCTCTCTGCGTCCCACTTTGAGCGAATTTTTCTCAGCATGGAGGGTCAAATTGAGTGGGACTTATTGCAGTGGCCTATTTAGAGGTCCCTACGATAGAATATGTGAAGATCCGCGCGACTTCAACTTTGGTGAGACACTGCCTTTAACACGCTTCGTGAGGATACGGTCTGGGATCAGTCAAACCACAGCAGTTTTTATGATTGTTCTTGATTAAGCATTTGATACTCTGAACTTTAGCGCTATCATATACTACCTATCCGAGCGGTTCAATCAGCGTCTGCAGGTACGGTAGAATACTGGGCTGGATTTTAGATTTTAGACTTTGATTTCTCAAACATGAATTATAAGAGCTGCCTAGGCATTGGCCTAGCTAGTACTACGACCTTCTAATCAGCTCCATGGAATTTTAGTCACCCAGATGTGCTTGGCTTCTGCTTTAACCACATCTTCGCGGAACAAAAGCGCCTTATAAACATTTTTTTCACTTCGCCCGGTCCTGTAACGAATTTTTTGAAGGCAATCACACAGGTGTTGTTGTCAGTCTCAGCTTCAGTATTGGAGCTCTGTGTTGGATTCATTATTAGCGAAGACATCGACGCTCTCTGGTATCGATTCAACTGCACACACACAAACGAGACGGAAAAGGCGCCGATTCAGTTTGTATCGCCTCAGGCTCTCGCGTGTTTTTCTCGTTTGCCACACCTTCTGCCCCGTTTTCTCATCCTCTACTCCCGGACTCATCGTGACATGCAAGGATTTGTCTTAGGAAGCTTTACTTGCTTTTTCTGCAATCAAACGCTTTACGGACTCTAAAGCGGATTATCCGAAGCTCATCTCATGAGCCCATACTTTTACACTTTTGCGCTCATCCGTTGAACTTCATGCTGCTTGAAGCGTTAAAAGATGTTTGGATTAGCTTTCTGGCCTCAAGCACATAGATAAGAAATCTTAGTACTCTTCGCTGCTCTCGCGATCAGGCTGCTTGCTTTGATTTCTATTTTTGGCATCGTACTTAAAACTTGTCCGAAATGTTAGCGTTCCTGGAAAAACTATGGAAAATATATTTGGAATTCAGCCGTGAAGGGGCAGTTTTGATTACTGAAACAGCAATTTTCATTCTCTGCAGTCTTTTGATGAGTTTACAGTAGCGCTACGGCTATCTTATAGTGGGGTCAATTTCATTTATTTTTAAAAAAATCATATTTATCTTGGGGTATTTTCACGAGACGTCTAAGCAAGAGTATTGTGCTTTAACAAGGGAGGACACTTTGCCCAAGTGATGTCTCCAAGAATGTATAATGTCTTATAGAACATAGAAGCTGTTTTCAAATCTGCTCGATATCTGCAAAGCGCTTGTGGGATGGAGTTATGGGAATATTTCGATGCAAAAAAAATTTGAAAGCGATACAATGGAATCATTCAAATTTCTAGTTCGTGAGTTTGAATGGAGCTATAATCTGCTGTCAGGGAGCTTTACGCAATTTATACCATGCCAGCCATCACTCCTTTCGAACCCCGGCAAGATCTCAACACCTGTTTTACCTTAGCCAAATCTCCGAAGTTTTACTACAAAAAATTCCCATAACTTCTCTCCCAGAAGAGCTTTTCAGACATCGAAAGCATACTTGAAATCAGTATTCCATGCTCTATGGGACTAAGCATATTATATGAAAAAGCCACTTCAACCAAGTATCCATCCCTTGTAAGAAGTGTTTCTATCTTCAAGACCTTATTCAGCAGTCTTTCTATCATAAACATTTTTTCTGTGAAACCAAAGAAGGCAGGAGGTAGCCGAAAATAAAATTTACACTTTTTTACCCCTCTCGCAAAAACTAGCTATAGCTCCAGTTCTAAGAATATGCCTCATCTGTCAAAAATCTCATTAATTGAATAGCTGCCTCTACGACCACTAATCAAGCTAATCCCATGAAGTAGCTTCGTTCGTTAATGAGATTCGCTAGTATGCTCTGGAGAAGCTGAAAAATTAGTTCATATCCACGTTCTAAAATTTTTTTTAAAGTGGAAATAATAGGCTGTGAAATATTAATGGAATAATGACAATGATTGAAGAAGATGGAAAGATTCAAATTTCTACTCTGCTTCTTTTGAAAGCGAGATTTTCTATAAGCAGGGCTCGGCACGAGGTGGCTAGATGAAAATGGAAAAAACGAAGTCCTCCTTGACTTTTGGGAATTTTCACGAAGTCTCCTTTGACCCTGAACCAAATTTCTTCTAAAAACCTGAAAAATTCCCGAAAATCCCCCAAAAAACGAAACGTCGACTAAAAAAAAAGGTCGTTGTCGTCAATTTTCCGTATGTCTTCGCTCACAAAAACGAAACCCCCTTTGCTTTTCGTCCCAAAAACGATATCCAGCTTGCTTGTAAGCCACCTGTGCCGAGCCCTGTCTATAAGAACATATAAGATTTTGAAATAATTTTTCTTTGTCCATGAATATTGGTGAATTTTTGCCGACACGGAGCTTGGATATAATGTTTTCCTTTGTGTTCTTGAAATTTGTTACCCGTTCATACGATATCGTACACCATTCTACGAAATAATTCTGTCTCGTGCCTTATCCCAAGGCTTGACAAAGGAACTTCTCGTGTGTATTTACGGAAATTGCATAACATCGTTCGCATCTGAATTAACCATGTGACGCTTCGCAGAGTTTTTTGATGTTTGCGTGATAGTAGAATAAATTATATTGCTGCGTAGGAAATACCTATGATGTGCTAGCAGAATGGGCGTTATGACAGTTTTGATGTGAGCGGAAGCTTAAAGTCATGGGACCTTGTGTCTTGATAGCGTGGTAGTTTGGAGATATCAATTTCAGAACAAATATATTGTAGCTGCATAGAAAATGCCCATCGATTTACTAATAGACGGAAAGGTTTTTTGCGATAAAAACTTCAAATAAAAGCTGGAATTGTATAATTTTAGCACTTTGCGGCTTGATATAGTGTGTTGGAATTGCGAAACAACTCCAGAATTGGAACATGAATTTCTGCACGTAGAATAACAAATGAATTGAATTAAAGATATTATATCTTTTTGAAGATATGTATAAATTACAGAAGTGTCGATAGGATTGATTCGTATCTCTATGGAATCGCTCCCAAATTTTGAAGCTATCTTAAATTCTTGAAGACTATATATCTTGATAAGTTTTTGTTGCTGAGCATAGCTTTTGAATTTGTTTACAGCTCGTTTCGTAGTCTCCTGCAAATTTCACGAATTTAATTTTCTCAAAACTGTGTTAGCAATGTCCCGATCTGTTATTGCTCCACGCCCTCCGAAAATGATGGGTAGTCTGACGTTATTCTCTCAAGTTTTATGTAGCAGCATTTTCCATACCATTCCTAATGATCAAAGATGTGAATGGCGTTTCTTTTCTTAGCTATACGATTTTCTGGTTATTCTCAAGTACCTTTGATGATCACAAGGTGCTAGCAAACGTTCGTCGATAAGGTTCTCTCTGACATCA